GCAAACTCCTATATTTATTTTCAGCGAATGTCCTCCATATCTCGGCTCATTAAGTAGATTTAAATACAGCCACTGGAGCTTCAACCATAAATGCTTTCTGTCTTCGCTGGGCCTCCCCCACAGCCTCTGCAATCAAATCAAACTCCTTCCCCCCTATTTTTAATCAAGGCTATTTTTCACGCCTTTACCAATATTATTCGAAGAGGCGCAGCAGAAAAAGCAGCAGGGAAGCAGCGAAAGCCGCAGCTAAAATGCCATCTGGGAAGGCTGCATTATTTTATACTTATCAACTATCATAAGCACAAGTTAAGCCCCCACCTCTAATTTAAAGCAGCCTTCCCAAATCCGGTGCTCTCCAGCTGCAACAGACATCATTCCCAGATAACAAGGGGCAGCAAGTGAAGGTCAGAGATGGTTCAAAGAATAAAAAAGGAAACATTTTAAAAGAAAATATCGGACGGAAGGTCAGTTGAAACATCCCTATAATTCTAAATCACATCCTCTGAAATGTTTCTAGAAAAAGGTCCGTGGTGCCCCTTGGTTGCCCCTCTACAGGTAGTCCTTGACTTACAGTAGTTTGTTTAGTGGCCATTCAAAGTTACAACAGCAATGGAAAAAGGGACTTATGTTACCACATCACCTCTTGGTCGTGGCACCATGAGCAACCGAATGAAATGCGGCTAGCTGGCTGTGCAGGCTCTTAAGTAGGGCTTATTTTGGGGATAGGGCTTATATTAGAGGCACAAGTAAAACACGCTAGGTCTTATTTTGGGGGAAGCAAGGTTGCAGTTCATAGGGTCACGTGATCACCTTTTGCAACCTTCTGACAAGCAAAGTCCACGGAGAAGCCAAATCCACTGTCAGGATTCCGGCAGTTACTCCAATTAAATCATGAGCCTTGAGCCACACTCCCAAAACTAAAAAGGATTTATTAGAAGTTAACATTTGGGCGTAGCCAACTCTGAGATACGTAATTCACTGTTACCCTTGATCCTGCTTCCCCCACCATCCCTCTGGGTGTATCATCCAACGAAACACGTCCATAGCCCAGAGTAATCAATCATGCTCTCTAATTAGATTTTTGCCCAGCAGAAGCTTCAGCCGTCTAATCAGTCTCTGAAGAAAATATGAATGGAATGTACTTTCGATTCCACACTGCTGCCTTAACAGTAGCGTCTCTTTGAAACACCCCACTTCTTTCTGTTGACAACTATAAAACGCGTATACAAAATGTTTTATGAGTTGACGTTCATTTAACAACCGTGATACTAACTTAACTGCAACGGTTCACTTAACAACGGTGGCACGAAAGGTCTTAAAAAGGGGCAAGTCTCCCTTAACAACTGTCTTGCTTAACAGTGGAAATGTTGAGGGTCAGTTGTGGTTGTAAGTCGAGGACTACCTGTCTTAATTGAACAGTGTGGTCACCTTTTGTGACCTTCTGTTAGGCAAAGTCAATGGGGAACCAGGTTCACTTAACAGACATTAAGAAACCAAAAATATTGGTTTCTTAAAGGGTGTTTTAAACCAAAACCAAAGCACCCATGTGTGTCGGCCCACCACTCGTGCAAGGGCTCCGTGTGCACACCAGCCCACCGCTCATGCAGCCCAGTTCCCCTTTCGCCCCTCAGCTGGACTGCCAAGGCGCAAACGTTGAGGACTCCTGGTATAGGGTCTCCTGCCTGAGCTGGGGGTTGGACTAGAAGACCTTTAAGGTCCCTTCCAACTCTATTATTCTGTAAGTCTGTAAAGTAGGTACTGATGAGTCAATACAAAATGCCTGCATCTACCTCCGTTCCTCTTTTGGTGTATTGTTTAAATTATTACTACCAACCTGCCTTCAATCGAGGACCTGTATATTGCACAAGTCAAAAAGAGGGCTGTGAAAATATTTACTGACCCCTCACATCCTGGACATAAACTGTTTCAACTCCTACTCTCAAAATGACACTACAGAGCCCTGCACACCAGAACAATAAGACACAAGGACAGTTTTTTCCCCAACGCCATCCCACTGCTAAACAAATAATTCCCTCAACACTGTTCAACTATTACAAAGTCTGCACTACTATTACTGTTAATCTTCTCATCACTCCTTATCACCCATCCCCTCCCACTTGTGACTGTATGACTGTAACTTTGTCGCTTGTATCCTTATGATTTTTACTATTTCCTAGTGTGACTTGATTGCTTATTGTACCCTACGACTATCATTAAGTGTTGTACCTGATGATTCTTGACTCTTGACGAATGTCTCTTTTCTTTTATGTACACTGAGAGCATTTGCACCAAGACAAATTCCTTGTGTGTCCAATCACGCTTGGCCAATAAAAGAATTCTATTCTATTCTATTACAAGGGGTTAATTGTTTTCAATTCTAGAGGAGCTTGTTTTAACAGTTATACTTCACTGTGTGTTTCGAACAACTGCAGATTTTCAATCAACAGGAAATGAGAAAACCCAACAAAACTAACACTAACCCAATTTTTCCACAGCACATTTTTCCAGGGTTGGGAGGATTCTCTTAAATCTGTTGCACACCTGGCAGATGTTGTGTCCTAACAGTTCTTTTCCTGGCCTCTCCTGGGAATCCCGTTACTAGGTTTGCACTCGTGTGATTTCCTGCTTCGGACTAGCTTTATTAATTTCATGCTCCCTATCCCCCGATATCTCGGATTATTCCAATTTTCTGTTCCAGTGCAGTTTTGAGTGCCACGTGGAGCAAAGCGACATTTTTATCATCCTCCCCCCTAAGGGAAATCAGGAGTACAATAATAGAGATAAGCACCACACAAATAGGAGAAGGAATGGAGGGCCCATGGCTTCTTAATGCTGTCTTAAGCCTCCAATTTGCAGGCAGATAAGCACCTCAACCCAGAAGCTTCACTTTTGAGGCTGTGAAAAAGAAAGGGGCAATACACTAACGGCAGTCCCTTAACAGCTTTCCACCAATCACAAAGAGGGAGGGGAGCAATATTGAGGGAGGGGGTGTTTTAATCATTTCTTTGTTTAAAAGAAAATAAGTTGGGCTGGGGTGGTCAACGTAAAACACAGAATATAGGATCTTAGAGCTGGAAGTCTATGGAGATTCTCACTCATCCAGATCATGATTGTCCCAAAGGTGCCTTTTTTTTCCAAGAGGCAACTGGATTTTCTTGTTTTTTTTCTTTGAAGACGTTTTGTTTTCTCACCCAAGAAGCTTCTTCAGCTCTGACAGGATCTGAATTCCATTCCTCACCGTCCAAGTCAAGAGCTGAAGAAGCTTCTTGGATGAGAAAGCGAAACCTCTCCAAAGAAAAACTAGAAAGTCCAGTTGCCTCTTGAAAAAGCATCTTTGGGACATAGGGCTGGAAGGGACCTCAGAGGTCTTCTAATCCAACCCCCTGCTCACGGCAGGAAATGTTAAATCATCCCTTATATCAACCAGTCAGTCTATTTTTGAAAAACCAGCCCCTTTTTTTCAATGTCACTGTAACTTTGAAGGGTCACAAAACAAACAGCCATAAGTTAAGGACAGCCTCTACTGGCACAATTAGTTCCTTCATTAATTCTTGCCCAACCATATGCAGGTTGGTGCATTGGTGAAAGAAAAGAGAGAAATCAAATACATTAGCTTGGGGACCTCGTAGGCAAACAGGATATAAACAAAAGACATGAATGAATAATTCTACCTGCTGAGCACCCAAGGATGCCACTATTATTGATCACAGTGAGGAAATGCTGCAGAGAAAAAAGCAAGGACATGGGGATGACAATGCAACGTGGATTCACAACCACATTCAGTTCGCAAGTTGTGATGGGCCCCTTGCTTCAAAACCACAGCTGTGGTGCAGCACAAATCACGACTCCAAAAGGCCACAGGAAATCAATACCTTTTCTTCCACCAAACCGAGGTATTATGAACAAGTTACAGACTTACAGAATAATAGAGTTGGAAGGGACCTTGGAGGTCTTGTAGTCCAACCCCCTGCTCAGGCTGGAGATCCCTATCCCAGGAGTCCTCAATGTTTGCGCCTTGGCAGTCCAACTGAGGGGCGAGAGGGGAACTGGGCCTCATGAGCAGTGTGGGCTGGTGCGCCCGCAGAGCCCTTGCAGGAGTGGTGGGCCGACACACATGCACACAACTCGACATGCCGCTCACACAAATTGAGCTGCACGTGCTTTTGGCCAGCTGACTCACACAGTCCAATTCCGAATAGGCCACGGCCTGGTAGTGGATTGCAGCCCAGATGTTGGGGACCCCCTGCCCTATATTCATTTCAGACAAATGGCTGTCTATCTCTTCTTGAAAGCCTCAGTGATGGAGCACTCACTACTACTGGGGGGGAAGCTGTTCCACTGATTAATTGTTCCAAATCTCAGGAATTTTCTTCTGATTTCTAGGCTGGTTCTTTTCTCGATTAGCTTCCATTCATTGCTTCTTGATCATACCTAAACCAGAGGTGGTATTCAACTGGCTTTGACCAGTTCTGGAGAACCGGGAGTGGGAATTTTGAGTAGTACGGAGAACTAGCAAATCCCACCTCTGATTGGCCCCACCAACCCCCTCTATTCTCTGCCTCCCATTGAGTCCCAGCTGATCGGCTGGGTCTTCTTTGGTTGCCCTGCACAGGAGAACGGAGCTGGAAAGCAGGTTAGTGGTTGGATTTTGCAGTAACCTTCCCCTGCCATGCCCACCAAGGCACGCCCACCAAGCCAAGCCACATCCACCAAGCCACACCCACAGAACTGGTACTATGGTACTAAAAAAATTTGACTCCCATCACTGAGCTAAACCTATAACTCCAGAATGTTAAAGGCACATGCTTTACAGGCAGACAGCACAAAAGGTCCTAGGGAACAGGGCAGAATAACCACAGAAAGCATCCATTTTTGCCCCAAAGAAGGCTGATCCTTGAACAATCTCAAAGAGGAACCGCGCACTCATTAATTGAGGCTTGTTTGGCTCAGTGGTATTAAAAAAAAAACGCCATCAGTTCTTACACAAGATAGCTACTTACAGTGTGTGACTCCAGCCAGAGTCTGATAGAAGGTGGGGGTGTCACTGTCATCTGTGAGCGTGACATACACGCCTCCGGAGAGGAGCCAGCGGGAAAATGTGAAAGCTTCTTTGTTGTGCAACAGCCAGGATCTGAATTTTTCATAGTTTACTTTTTCGCCCTACAATAAAAGCAAAGGGGAAAAGGGAGACGTGAATTGTGAAGCTTGGTTCCATTTGTTTTTTTTTAGTCAGATTAGAGCTATTGATAGAAGATAAAACAGTCTTACTCCGGCTAGGGTATCCTCCAGATATATGGGACATAATATATACCATCCTTAGGTAGGGGAGGGCCAGTTTGATCTAGTGGATAATATGCTGGCCTAGAAACCAGGGAGCTGTGAGTTCTAGTTCCTCCTTAGGCACGGAAGCCAGCTCAGTGACTTTGGGCCAATCAGCAGGAGACTGGGAATTCTAGTCCCACCTTAAACATGAAAGCTGGCTAGAGGATCTTGGGCCTGTCAGTCTCCCTCAGTACAATCCACCTCACAGGGTTGTTGAATGACAGCTAAGAATAGAAGCTGAAAAGCTCACAACATGACATGAGTTGGGTTATAAAAATTATTGAAACCAACCTTTTTGTGAATGATGCCCCTAACTGGTCAACCCCTCCACTATAAGTAGACTCACTACTTATGTATAACTCTGGAGCAAACAGCCAGAGATATGTCCTAGCTACTCCTATATCTGCATTTTCTTAAAATAAAGATAAGATTCATGAACAACTTTCATCTATCAGCACTCATGCACCCACCTTTCTATCTACTATCATCACCCATCCATCTACCCACCCACCCACCAGCTGTCTATTTACCATCATTATCTATCTATCTATCTATCTATCTATCTATCTATCTATCTATCTAT